TCTGTGTGTGTGTGTGTGCGTGTGTGTGTGTGTGTGTCTCGCTCTACAGGCAGTCTACAGTTGCGTCCAGGAATAATAAGTCTGTCTGACCCAATCCCTGCGTTTTCAAAACCTTCTTTTCTTTGAGGGAACGGAAATTAAGTTATTGCACAGGGACAGAAATTGCAGAATACAAACAGTCGAAATGTGCCGTGATTTAAACCTTTTTTTGTTTTTGTTTTTTTTAAGCAGTATGATGTGTCGTTTCTCTCTAAATCAGAAAGAAGTTCAAATTTTTCAAAGAAGATCACAATTGTTTTCATATAATTAAAAAAAAGGAAAAAACTAAAAAAAACGTTACAAACAAACAGTAACAATAGTACTATGAAAAATGCCACCATATAAATTCACTCAAGAATGTGATAATTAGAGAGAGAGGTGAAATTAGAGAGAAGAATATAGCGTAGCTTCATTAAACAAAAAAATAAAAAATAATAATACTAATTAAAAAAAAAAAACACGAGAGTGAGTTGGTCAGTGTGGAGAAAAGGGAGGAGTAGGTTGGGAATGAGAGTGGGAGTATGAACCAACGGGCCTAGATGAACAAGAAAGAATAATTCTGCTACACACAATGAACTGTTGAAATACAGACTCAAGGTCGAATCCAGATGCCCTCAAATGAACTCAAGAAAGAATAATTCTGAATTACTCTCAACGGGCCCAGTCAATTCAATGATATACTCTCAAGGCCGTGCTTTTTTTTTAAAGAAAAAAAGGAAAAAAGGGAGTGGGGTTAGGAAGCTCAAGAGTGTCATTATCAGAGTAGTACTGACCAGATAGACTTTCCACTTCCAGTGGCCATAACAACGAGGCAGTCTTTGCCAGAGATGATCGCATGGATTACTCTCTCCTGATTTTCTCGAAATCCAGAAAAACCGAAATACTCCTGCACGACAGCGACAACCAACCATGATGAATTCAATGCTTGCTTCGCAATCGGGCAAAAACATACACTCACACTGATGTCCCGCACCACCTCTCTCTCTCTCTCTCTCTCTCTCTCTCTCTCTCTCTCTCTCTCTCTCTCTCTCTCTCTCTCTCTCCATGTGTGTGTGTGTGTCTGTGCAGGTGTTTTATCACGCTGCCTGCCACACACTGTAGGGTTTAGGGCCCTTCCATTAACCAACCGACATCAGTCAATCACACCTGCCTGTATTGTGCAGCTGCCGGAAGGAGGATGAAAGAGAGAGAGAGAGAGACTGTCATCTGGGTTGGTTTTGGAGTTAACGGCTGTGATGATGTCCCAGAGGACTGAAAATATAACTTCGCCTTCCAGGTCGGGATCCCGATCCAATCAACCAAGAGGGGGGGGGGGGGGGGG